TTTTATTAAAAAAAAATGCTCTAGCCGGCATCGTTTCTTATTAGTTTACATGTGTGAAAAAAAAAAAAAATTTTTTCACACGAATCAAAAAAAAGGAACTTTTGAAATAAAAAAATGACTCACACATTTTTAATATTACATATATTTACATATTTATTTCGCTTTAGACCGAAATCAACCGATATCTCCCATTCATTTTTCCTTAATGATGACTTAACCTAAACTTTAAAAAATTGTTTTTTTTGATCGTCGGTTATATTTATATTATTAATTAAATTATAATATATTTTTTATTAATTCCGAATGAAAAATGTATAGTAAAAAAAAAAATTTATTAGTAAATAAATTATTTTTATTTATTTATTTTTATTTATTATTTATTTATTTTTTCCTTTTTTCCCTTTAGGAATATATAAATATATATAAATAAATATAAATATATATATGTATATATATATATTATATATATATATTATATATATATAAAATAAAAAAAAAATAAAAAAAAATAATATTAAACTTATTATAGGTATAATTGACAAGTTGAAAGTATTATTCTTGTTTATTAAAAAAAGGAATAAACTTGATCTAAAATTCCTGATAATTTTTTTTAGTATGTAACGAAAAAAGAAATTATGAAGAAAAAAACTTGATTTGTTCATTTTTTTCATAAAGATTTGATCATATGTGTTAATAAAAAAAATACCTGTTTAAAATCTTGATTTAATTTTAGCGCCTTTTTTTTTCAAAAAAAAAAAAAAAAAAATCTTTGTTGAACTTCTATTCTTCCATTATTAATTAATCTTAGACAATCATACTTTGTTTGTCAAATGTTATTTATCCGGATTTACATAATACAATACATTCGGCACTAGTTCAAAAGTTCTAATATAATAAAGAAAAAAATAAAAAGCCAAATACTTTTTGGTAATGAATTAACGAAAAAGGATTTTCATGGAAGTAAAGTGGCTTGGTAAAAATAAATTCGATTTTAATCAAAGAAAGTTATTTACACTTTGTTGGTTTATATTATTTTCTTTTTTTTTTCTGATCCACTTTATCTACTAAATCAAAATAAATTCAATGAATCAAATGATTTAAGCCCCTTTGTCCCTTTGTCCCTGAACTAAAAAAGTTCAATGGTCAAAGCTTTTTTGATTTTTGCATTCTTACATTCATTCTTACGTCATCCCCAAACTTGATACGTGAGTACCGTAGGGGTAACCGCTGCATTACTGCGCCACACTTGTCTAAATGGAAATTGATTATATTGATTACTATACCATTTATATATTTATGCATTTATACGAAATATTATAGAATCTCTTTTTAATTTGAATTATTACGGTATAATTCGATATTTTTTTTTGAATATATTAAAATTGTATTGTTGCTTAATAATAAGATTTTTTATCAAGGAGAGAGATATCTTTATAAAAATTCCATCTATGTACAGTAAATATCCCGAAAACCGACATTAATAATAATAATAATAAAATAAAAATAATATAAAAAAAAAATAAAATGAAATAAAAAAATTTAATTAATAATAAAATTTAGAAAATTTTCAGGGAATTCCGAAAAAATTTTACTTTTTCTCCGTTTATTCCGCGTAAATTTTATACCATTTTTTTTTTTTTTTCAATCCAATTAATTTTCAACATACGGAAAAAGTAAATAGTTTGAAGTTTGATGCAAGTTTTAAAATTACAATAAGTAGGTTTATAGTTTTACCCATACTGTATACTTTAAGATAAATAACATTATTAATTTTATTAATTGAAACATTTCATAAACATATATATCATATTATATCATATATAAATGTATATATTTATACATAAAACTAGAACTATATATATCTATATAACGTCAAATTACGTCTATCAAAAGTATGTTACGTACTTGTACGTATTGCCCCCAGTTATCTCCGACTTTATACCAAAAATAATATTATCGATCACAAGGGTACAGGTACAAAAACAACGTGATTTCATTAAATTGATCTATGCTACCTAAAAAAGGCTGATTTTTTTGCATGAAAATATTTTGCACCAATCATAATCCTCTTTTAAATGTAACACTAATTATTATATATGTAACATTTTTCGATAATTATAATTTCTAAAAGAAACAATGCAATGTTTAACGATGAAAAAAATAGGAACATAAAAAAACTTTAAAATTATCTCTTTGTATTTTTATTGGTTTAAAATTGGTATTCTTGGAGATTCCTACCGAAAAGAAATCCCTTAATAATTATTTATTGGGCGCGCTTTTTTGCCAAAATATTTTTCGTGGCTTAAGAAATCTTGTTTTTAATAAGGGAGATTAACTGATAATGATTAACAAAAAGATAATGAATGATATCAAAGTATAACATATTCGGGTTTCAAAAAAATTATTTATTTTTATTAAATGTTTTATACTAAAAAGATAATATCGTAAATAAAATGAATAACAGATAATTTTTTTTTAAAAAAAAAAAAAAAATATTAAAAAAACTTCATCTCACAGATTTTTATTGACCATTGTTATGAAGGAAAGTAAATGCATAGTATATATATCAACTAATAAGTTATAAAAGTTCAATTGTGTTTCGTTCCAAATTTTTTTTTTTTTTTTTTTTTTTTTTAATTTAAAAAACCGGTTATATACAGGATATAAAAAAATAAATATACATACAGCATATACACATAACAGATGTGTATACTGTATAGAGTATATACTGCGCATTATATATTATTATAGAAAGTAAAAAATACGCCATATACGGAACAACATTTGGCCTTTCATCTCTTTATCAAAATGTAAAATGTAAAATGTAAATACTTTACTTTTAAATCATTCTTAATATGTTTAATATGTTAATATAATTTCGCTTAGATAAAATGGTAAATCTAGAATCTTCAAATTATAAATTATCATATGATTAATTTTAAAGTTCCTTAGTTCCTTCATAGATAACATGAAACAATTACAAACAACAAACAAGTATTATAATATATAACATTATTGTGTAATAATTAACAAATATTTTATTAACAAAGTTTGATTCAGAACTAATTGGTAACGTATTGCGATAATTTACCTGTAACACAATCAATTTTGATGGTCACTACAGAACGAAGGTTAATCTTTATTTTCATTGGATATTCTATTATACTGTACATGAATGATTTGTTATTGAAGAGAGTTTTTTAAGGTATAATTTAAAGAGACAATAAGTAATAAAATTTCATAACAATTATATATATCAATATTATCAATATCATTATATGCTATTAATAATCATGGATCATAACATAAATGATAACATAAACGACCTTTGAAATAAAATAACTGGTTAAAACATCAATTTATTTTTACTTCATATATTTATTTACCTTACACATAATGTACATAATAATTTATAAAACCGAAGGAAATTTCTCGTACTCGCAAAATAAAAAAAAAAGGATTAGTTAAAAATTTTGTATATATAAACTACTAATAACAAAGAAAATTTATTTTTATAACGAACTTTTTTTTTTTTGTTTTATTTTTTTTTCAAACTCGATTTTTTGTATATACTGTATGTTTACTATTATTTTATTATTATACATTGAATCGTATTCAGTCTTTCTTTCTTTAAAGTTATCCTTATTCCCGAAAATCAATTTTCAAGTATCACGCAACGAAAAATAACGTTTTTTAACGTTTACAAATAAAACATTACCGTTTAAAAAATATATTAATGAATAATTTGAAACAAAAAATTATTTTTTTGTTTTATTATTATTTTTATTGACGACATAACTGTAAATAAGTATATAATTATTTTTTTATTATTTTTATTATTTAACGAGTTCATAACGAATTGAAAAAAAAAAAATTCTTTTTCGTGTCAAATACGCATTAATTATAATGACAGAATCAAATGTTAATAATACAAATACAATTCCTACAGAGAGTTCATCACCATTTTCAACAACGAGCGTTCCATCAACAGTTCCTCCAATTCCTCCAGTTCCTCCAGTTCCTCCAGTATCTCTTGCCGAGAATCCATTACCTACATCAATTTTACCTGATTGCAATGTCATTGATTGTCCTCTTAATACACCATTCCCGGAACCAACTACAACAACTATACCAGAAACGGCAGAAATACCGATATCAACAATATCAACAATATACAATTCAACTGATTCTTCTTCAGGTTCTTCAGATTCAACCAATTTAAATAATTCAAACAATTTTCATTTATCAAATATGACTATAATATTATTTATAATAATTCCTATAATACTTATAATATTATCTATAATAATTGGTATAATAATTTATAAACGTACTCATAAAAAACATAATGAAGGAACAATATTACAATTTGAACCAATGCATCCTAATGTTGTTGTAGTTGACGCTGATGGAAATAGTTTAGGAAAAAGAAATAGTACTAGTAATAATAGTAATTTTACTAATAATAGTAATAGTAAAGGAAAAGGGAATAGAAGTCCAAGTAGAATGATTAAAGTTTTGGCTTATGATGAAGAAAATGGTTGTATTGTAGGAAATAATAATAATACAAATCGAAAGACTATGTATTACGAAGATTATCGTTAAAAAAAAAAAAGAACTTTTTTTTTATATACATATAATTTTTTTTTTAAAAAAAAATAAGGTTTGGAAATTTTTTTTTTTTTTTTTTTTT